GCCAAGAGGAATCTGAATCATTCCCTTCCGAATCTTGCAGAGCCGGAGTTCGTGAGTATTAGCTGTCCATAAGCTAGCAGCAGGAGCAACTTTGACACTCTATGGGCTTCTCCCTTGACTTGATGCCTCCACGTCCCCCCGATTGCGCGCGAGCTTCTACTTCTGTCTATACGGTAATTTCTGTACTGTGCGACAGAGTCGCGTGTTATGACGCAATCGTTAGCCTATTTTTACAAAAAATGTATGAATCTAGAAATGCACTGCAGCTAAAGCCACATGTCTGACCATGTTATATTTAAAATCTGAAGATGACAAGTCTAAAACTCTTTATTTAGTTAACTGTTTTTCAAGATCATGTCATACGACTTTATTTTGATTAGACTCTAAAATGCAAACTGATGTTTATTGTCATCTTCTCTAAGCATCTATTCAGTCTATTGTTTATGTGATGTAGACGAGACCCATTCAGTGTCAGTCTCCCCTGCACACATTCACACCTCTCCAGCCTGGTTATGGCTCTAAATATGCTTTTCTTTTGTCTGCATTATAATTACTAACGACTGGCTATTCACACTGTTTCAATCCCTAATCTCTTTTAGGGAAAGTTCTCACCTTACATTTGAAACTAAATAAAATGACCTTCTTAAAAAAAAGAAAGATTTCAGCAAGCAGTCCTATTTAGAAATATTCATAAAAATAACAGCTAGGTATAGCAGGTGCACCAAGGGCTAGCTAGCATGTTAGCTTAGCACACCATCAATACACGACAATTTATGAGATTAAAACCCTGTTTGTGCTCTAAAACTTACTTTACAGCACAAGTCGAGTGTTTTAAATAACCTTCTGTGCTCTGATTTGGCTTCAGATAAAAAAATCTGACAGAAAATATATTATTTTATTGTACTCTGCACGATGATAAAGTCTATATCGATTAGCATTACATTATAAATAGAATCTATTATTATGAAAATACCTGACATGGCTCGAAGAACACAGGTAAATCAAATATCATTGCAATCATGTTTATTGTCTTCAAAACATCTTTATCTGCATGTTACAGCGATCTCTGTTAGCTTTGTTTGGGGAGTTCCTGGAATGTCACATGATTATGGCTCTTCTTCGTTTGTTCCATATATGGACTTTACTGTGCACAGAGCGCCGGCGCCCTCAGGCTGCCAGTATGTATTGAAAACACAGTACATCAGAGTATCCAGCGCTCATAGAGGTGGTAAGTCCCGCCCATCCGTAAAACTCCAAGTGGACCTCTAGGTTGAAAAAGCGTCAATGCAAGTGAATGAGAGAAAATAATTATTTTCTGATCCCGTTTTAATTGTGCCATGAATGTGAACATATGTTGTCTGTGAATTTTTTATATAATTTCTCATGTAACGAGTTTGACAGTATATTGTATGATTCTTTGGCTAGCAGTTGTGGAATAAACATAACGAGAAAGACTTCACGTCGCATATGTGACGTCACCGCATAACACATCTTCCCTCCACAAATCACGGTGCGATAATCTAAGGAATTAGATCGAGATGCCTGTGTGTTTTGTACCCAAATGTCACCATGAAGTGCACCAAAGACACAGGCATGTTTAGCGGGATCCGTGTGCTAGTGGTGGTGACGTATATCAAACGCGTCGAAAGCAGCGAAGAGTTGTAGTCCACAAATGCTCTCACACAAAGTCTAACCGTATGAAAATTCTACCCGCTAAATTGTAGCATTCTTTACACGAAAAATTATATAAAAAATTACCAGACAACATATGTTCACATTCATTGCAAAATTCAAACGGGATTAGAAAATAATTATTTTCTCTCATTCACTTGCATTGACGATTTTTCAACCTAGAGGTCCAGCGGGGTAAGCGGAAGGGGCGGGACTTACCAGCTCTATAATGATTACATCGACGCATTTGGGTATAAATTCAATAAATATGATTCCTGTCTATATAAATCTGATGTAAACCTATGAGAATATATCAATATTTCTCCAAATCTGCACATTTTTTAGCTAAAAGCCCTGATGGACGTTGTTTTGTCAAGCACTATCATGCACTATCACTACACACCACAGGAGTTTTTTTCTGAATGGGAGCGGCTGACGCTCATCATAATTCATATTAAAGGTATCGACTAATTTTTTGATTACATAACTCCAGACACAAATTAAGACACAACTGTCACTATAAGTTTCTCAGAATACAATAGTGGTCAAATACTAAACCTTAAGTCTTATATCTTTTTAATGATGTATAGTTTGTCAAGGTAATAACATTAAATCTGATAGTAACTTTGAACTATTTAAAAAAAAAAACGCTTCAGTGCGCCGACGCTCTGGCAACGGTTATGAGGTTAATCTAGGTTAATGTTCATTTCTACATGTACTCATACATTATGAAGCAACAGGAATGAACAATATTATAAATTAGCACTGACCTAGAGATGAATTAGTCATGAATTTTGTGCTGATGATTAATCATCATACAAATAATTGAGATTGACGATTTAATTAGATTTGATGTCACTTACAGTGTACGCCTAATACGTTATTTTTTCCATGAATCATATATAATATATTAAGATATTATAATAAAATGGGCCCATAAGGAAATCAATATTTATATGATTATAATATAATGCACACTGATTAAACATCTAAACCTTAAATTCGTACAAAGGAAGACTTTCTGTGGCGCTTGAGAGCGTTTTGGCAGCGCTGCTTTTGTTCAGTTGAGACGCTTTGCTTGTTATGTAATATCCGCCAGAGTGTTACTAGAGTCTCATTTAACGCATATTTTGTTTCTGTGTTGATTCTATATTAAAATGTCGATACAATGTAACGTATTTTCTCTGGTTCTTGTTTTAAATTATTTAGTTCCGTTATTATGCTTGTCGTCTGTTGACGTTGTACAGGGCAGAATGTGGCGGTTGGTCGGTGTGGTATTAGCCCCGCCCCTCCTCCACTGTGATTGGACGGCTGGGTAAAAAGTGACCGTAATGAGCGCTGCGTTTTACCCAAAGTTCAACATTCTTCAACTCTCGGCGACCAGCAAAATCACCAGCTTCTATTATACAGATAAATAACCATCTGGGTCCTTTATCTGGGAATTCTCATGCCAAAAATTTGGGAGTGATTTTTGATAACGGCCTTAAATTCGACAAACAAATCCAATTCAGTGATCCACTGCGAAATTGAAAGCGTTTTAAACAGTAAGATGTATTTCCTCCAGGCTGGATTATTGTAAGTCACTGTTTTTTCGCACAGAAAGTATTCTCGTCGCTTGATAAACTTAAAGGTGCTCTATGTAACTTTTAGCGGCCTCTAGTGGTGATGTTTCAGATTGCAACCAAATTTTACAAGAGCGCTCGTGCTCGAACTCATAGACAATACCGTCTATTACGCAAATATCTCGGCGAATACTAGACGGATTGGGCGAGCACCGAGCTCGTTGGGACCATCTAGTCGAGCTGAAAGGAACCATATAAGTTCCATAGTTTTTGGTGGTGTTTTCACGGAGATATTAGCAGAAAACCATCTGGCGCGCTGCAAAATTGCGGACTCCGGTGACGTCACGATCTCAGAAGAAAATCGCTCGTATCTCTGGAACGCAAAGACCCAGAGAGCTCAAATTCGGGGGAGGAGGTCCCAGGGGAACCCTTGCCCGAACGCTAGAGTGGCGGGCCTCGGGGACGCCCCCTACCGGATCGCCGTTCGCTGGGACCCCCGATTTCGAACGGCTATAACTCGGGGAGCCGGGCGAGTTGGACCTCGGGGGTGGGCTCGTTCGAAAGGCCCCGTCCAGCACTACGAACGATTACAGTCTTGGGAATATTGATCAAAGATTGACTGAGATATAAGCCGAACAACGTGCGCCTTTAACCGGACGTAACTCCCTGACGTCTACAATAGACTGTATATAAGGAGAGCGGCTCGGGAGCGCATGCACGTCACATCCGGTGGATTTCGCGGTAAATCCGACCCGGAGACTTCACATAGAAATAGGAATACTGGCCTTCAGAGGTAATAGCAAAACTCGACAAGTGGATCATTTTAATGTGTGATTACAACCCTTTCACACACAGGCAATAAAAAAAGGATTCATTTTAGTAGAAAAGTTACATAGAGCACCTTTAAGGTTGAGCCACTGTAGTCTAAACATGGTCTTTACTAACTTTCTGGCCCGGCAAGTTTCAATTACAATAGAAGCCTATGGAGGAGTGAGACTCATTTTTTGACAGATTTACTCAAAAATGTCTTAATTTGTGTTCCGAAGATGAAGGAAAGTCTTACGGGGTTGAACAACATGAGGGAGAGTAAATACTGACAAGAGTTTTCATTTTTGGGTGAACTATCCCTTTAAGCCTGTGTTCCAATGTTGATAGAAATCATCACTAAAGACTTATTTTTTCTCTCTGGCTTTTGGTTCAATGTCATTTTATGAATTTGTGTGTGTTCCTGTGAGTTTATGTATTTTATTGTCTGAAGGGATTGTACAGCACTTTGGTCAGCAGTGCCTGTTTAAGTCAAGCTACACTGTTCTACACACACACACACACACCTCATCCGTTCACATCATGATAAATAACTCTAGTGGGGTTAGTGAAGTGCAATGAAGTGTTGGCTGTCGCTGCTCATTAGTGTTAGCTGTACAGACGAGCTGCTGCAAACAGGACAACTAACACCTGACACACACTGCCATTACAGCAATACTAGAAGATAAACACAGTAAAACAGTGTAATATTACTCCAGTGTAAATCATCTGTTTTCTATGTGAATATACAGTAAAGTGTAATTTATTCCTGTGATCAAAGCTGAATTTCCAGCATTATTACTCCAGTCTTCAGTGTCACATGATCCTCCAGAAATCACTCTAATATGAGGATCTGATGCTCAAGAAACATTTAGAAACTAGATTTGACAACTAGATTTACTTGCTTATCAAACTGTCGCTTGAGTACACAAACATAATGTCTATCTGCTCCTCGATTCACAGACATGGCCGAACCCATCCAGCAGATCACCAGCAACAACGACGGCACACACACACGGGAGCAGGTTCCGCACACACTCCTCACACGCAAGGAGAAGGTACGTACAGCAGAAGAACAAAACACTGTTCTCAAAAACCCCAGAGAAACAGCTGTAAACAGTGTGGCAGCGGTGAATTTCAGCAGAAGTGTAACGTCACGTGACACAATGACACTAGAACAGCGATGAGATCATCACCATCAGCACAAATATGAGATCACAGAATCAAGAGCTGTTTCCGTCCAAAGCTGTGAAATTAACTTATGCCAAAACTGGAATATGGCAGAAAATATTTGAGAATAACGCAGCGTTTCCATCTCATGTGTTCAAGAGAACAACATCATCACTTCCTGGGAAACTGGCTCAAATATCAGTAATAAAAGTGTGTTTCTGCACTCGGGCTGTTCTCCCTCCATCATAAACGAGTGTGTGTCGAGCGTCATCATGAACGAGTGTGTGTCGAGCGTCATCATGAACGAGTGTGTGTCGAGCGTCATCATAAACGAGTGTGTGTCGAGCGTCATCATGAACGAGTGTGTGTCGAGCGTCATCATGAACGAGTGTGTGTCGAGCGTCATCATGAACGAGTGTGCGTCGAGCGTCATCATGAACGAGTGTGCGTCGAGCGTCATCATGAACGAGTGTGTGTCGAGCGTCATCATGAACGAGTGTGCGTCGAGCGTCATCATAAACGAGTGTGTGTCGAGCGTCATCATGAACGAGTGTGTGTCGAGCGTCATCATGAACGAGTGTGTGTCGAGCGTCATCATGAACGAGTGTGTGTCGAGCGTCATCATGAACGAGTGTGTGTCGAGCGTCATCATGAACGAGTGTGTGTCGAGCGTCATCATGAACGAGTGTGTGTCGAGCGTCATCATGAGCGAGTGTGCGTCGAGCGTCATCATGAACGAGTGTGTCGAGCGTCATCATGAACGAGTGTGTGTCGAGCGTCATCATGAGCGAGTGTGCGTCGAGCGTCATCATAAACGAGTGTGTCGAGCGTCATCATGAACGAGTGTGTGTCGAGCGTCATCATGAACGAGTGTGTGTCGAGCGTCATCATGAACGAGTGTGTGTCGAGCGTCATCATGAACGAGTGTGTGTCGAGCGTCATCATGAACGAGTGTGTGTCGAGCGTCATCATGAACGAGTGCGTCGAGCGTCATCATGAACGAGTGTGCGTCGAGCGTCATCATGAGCGAGTGTGCGTCGAGCGTCATCATGAACGAGTGTGTGTCGAGCGTCATCATGAACGAGTGTGTGTCGAGCGTCATCATGAACGAGTGTGCGTCGAGCGTCATCATGAACGAGTGTGTGTCGAGCGTCATCATGAACGAGTGCGTCGAGCGTCATCATGAACGAGTGTGCGTCGAGCGTCATCATGAGCGAGTGTGCGTCGAGCGTCATCATGAACGAGTGTGTCGAGCGTCATCATGAACGAGTGTGTGTCGAGCGTCATCATGAACGAGTGTGTGTCGAGCGTCATCATGAACGAGTGTGTGTCGAGCGTCATCATGAACGAGTGTGTGTCGAGCGTCATCATGAACGAGTGTGTGTCGAGCGTCATCATGAACGAGTGTGTGTCGAGCGTCATCATGAACGAGTGTGTGTCGAGCGTCATCATGAACGAGTGTGTGTCGAGCGTCATCATGAACGAGTGTGTGTCGAGCGTCATCATGAACGAGTGTGTGTCGAGCGTCATCATGAACGAGTGTGTGTCGAGCGTCATCATGAACGAGTGTGTGTCGAGCGTCATCATGAACGAGTGTGTGTCGAGCGTCATCATGAACGAGTGTGTGTCGAGCGTCATCATGAACGAGTGTGTGTCGAGCGTCATCATAAACGAGTGTGTGTCGAGCGTCATCATAAACGAGTGTGTGTCGAGCGTCATCATAAACGAGTGCGTGTCGAGCGTCATCATAAACGAGTGCGTGTCGAGCGTCATCATAAACGAGTGCGTGTCGAGCGTCATCATGAACGAGTGCGTGTCGAGCGTCATCATGAACGAGTGCGTGTCGAGCGTCATCATAAACGAGTGTGTGTCGAGCGTCATCATGAACGAGTGCGTGTCGAGCGTCATCATAAACGAGTGCGTGTCGAGCGTCATCATGAACGAGTGCGTGTCGAGCGTCATCATAAACGAGTGCGTGTCGAGCGTCATCATAAACGAGTGCGTGTCGAGCGTCATCATGAGCGAGTGTGTGTCGAGCGTCATCATGAGCGAGTGTGTGTCGAGCGTCATCATGAGCGAGTGTGTGTCGAGCGTCATCATGAACGAGTGCGTGTCGAGCGTCATCATGAGCGAGTGTGTGTCGAGCGTCATCATGAGCGAGTGTGCGTCGAGCGTCATCATGAGCGAGTGCGTGTCGAGCGTCATCATGAGCGAGTGTGTGTCGAGCGTCATCATGAGCGAGTGTGCGTCGAGCGTCATCATGAGCGAGTGTGTGTCGAGCGTCATCATGAGCGAGTGTGCGTCGAGCGTCATCATGAGCGAGTGCGTGTCGAGCGTCATCATGAGCGAGTGTGTGTCGAGCGTCATCATAAACGAGTGTGTGTCGAGCGTCATCATAAACGAGTGCGTGTCGAGCGTCATCATAAACGAGTGCGTGTCGAGCGTCATCATAAACGAGTGCGTGTCGAGCGTCATCATGAACGAGTGCGTGTCGAGCGTCATCATGAACGAGTGTGTGTCGAGCGTCATCATAAACGAGTGTGTGTCGAGCGTCATCATGAGCGAGTGTGTGTCGAGCGTCATCATGAACGAGTGTGTGTCGAGCGTCATCATGAACGAGTGTGTGTCGAGCGTCATCATAAACGAGTGTGTGTCGAGCGTCATCATAAACGAGTGCGTGTCGAGCGTCATCATAAACGAGTGCGTCGAGCGTCATCATGAACGAGTGTGTGTCGAGCGTCATCATAAACGAGTGTGTGTCGAGCGTCATCATGAACGAGTGCGTGTCGAGCGTCATCATGAACGAGTGCGTGTCGAGCGTCATCATAAACGAGTGTGTGTCGAGCGTCATCATAAACGAGTGTGTGTCGAGCGTCATCATGAACGAGTGTGTGTCGAGCGTCATCATGAACGAGTGTGTGTCGAGCGTCATCATGAACGAGTGTGCGTCGAGCGTCATCATGAACGAGTGTGCGTCGAGCGTCATCATGAACGAGTGTGTGTCGAGCGTCATCATGAACGAGTGTGCGTCGAGCGTCATCATGAACGAGTGTGTGTCGAGCGTCATCATGAACGAGTGTGTGTCGAGCGTCATCATGAACGAGTGTGCGTCGAGCGTCATCATGAACGAGTGTGTGTCGAGCGTCATCATGAACGAGTGTGCGTCGAGCGTCATCATGAACGAGTGTGTGTCGAGCGTCATCATGAACGAGTGTGTGTCGAGCGTCATCATAAACGAGTGTGTGTCGAGCGTCATCATGAACGAGTGTGTGTCGAGCGTCATCATGAACGAGTGTGTGTCGAGCGTCATCATGAACGAGTGTGCGTCGAGCGTCATCATGAACGAGTGCGTGTCGAGCGTCATCATGAACGAGTGTGCGTCGAGCGTCATCATGAACGAGTGTGTGTCGAGCGTCATCATAAACGAGTGTGTCGAGCGTCATCATGAACGAGTGTGTGTCGAGCGTCATCATGAACGAGTGTGCGTCGAGCGTCATCATGAACGAGTGTGTGTCGAGCGTCATCATGAACGAGTGTGTGTCGAGCGTCATCATGAACGAGTGTGTGTCGAGCGTCATCATAAACGAGTGTGTGTCGAGCGTCATCATAAACGAGTGTGTCGAGCGTCATCATGAACGAGTGTGTGTCGAGCGTCATCATGAACGAGTGTGTGTCGAGCGTCATCATGAACGAGTGTGTGTCGAGCGTCATCATGAGCGAGTGTGTGTCGAGCGTCATCATGAACGAGTGTGCGTCGAGCGTCATCATGAACGAGTGTGCGTCGAGCGTCATCATGAACGAGTGTGTGTCGAGCGTCATCATGAACGAGTGTGTGTCGAGCGTCATCATGAACGAGTGTGTGTCGAGCGTCATCATGAACGAGTGTGTGTCGAGCGTCATCATGAACGAGTGTGTGTCGAGCGTCATCATGAACGAGTGTGTGTCGAGCGTCATCCTGAACGAGTGTGTGTCGAGCGTCATCATGAACGAGTGTGTGTCGAGCGTCATCATGAACGAGTGTGTGTCGAGCGTCATCATGAACGAGTGTGTCGAGCGTCATCATAAACGAGTGTGTGTCGAGCGTCATCATAAACGAGTGTGTGTCGAGCGTCATCATGAACGAGTGCGTGTCGAGCGTCATCATGAACGAGTGTGTGTCGAGCGTCATCATAAACGAGTGTGTGTCGAGCGTCATCATGAACGAGTGTGTGTCGAGCGTCATCATGAACGAGTGTGTGTCGAGCGTCATCATGAACGAGTGTGTGTCGAGCGTCATCATGAACGAGTGTGTGTCGAGCGTCATCATGAACGAGTGTGTGTCGAGCGTCATCATGAACGAGTGTGTGTCGAGCGTCATCATGAACGAGTGTGTGTCGAGCGTCATCCTGAACGAGTGTGTGTCGAGCGTCATCCTGAACGAGTGTGTGTCGAGCGTCATCATGAACGAGTGTGTGTCGAGCGTCATCATGAACGAGTGTGTGTCGAGCGTCATCATGAACGAGTGTGTCGAGCGTCATCATGAACGAGTGTGTGTCGAGCGTCATCATGAACGAGTGTGTCGAGCGTCATCATGAACGAGTGTGTCGAGCGTCATCATGAACGAGTGTGTCGAGCGTCATCATGAACGAGTGTGTGTCGAGCGTCATCATGAACGAGTGTGTGTCGAGCGTCATCATGAACGAGTGTGTGTCGAGCGTCATCATGAACGAGTGTGTCGAGCGTCATCATGAACGAGTGTGTCGAGCGTCATCATGAACGAGTGTGTGTCGAGCGTCATCATGAACGAGTGTGTGTCGAGCGTCATCATGAACGAGTGTGTGTCGAGCGTCATCATGAACGAGTGTGTGTCGAGCGTCATCATGAGCGAGTGTGTGTCGAGCGTCATCATGAACGAGTGTGTCGAGCGTCATCATGAACGAGTGTGTGTCGAGCGTCATCATGAACGAGTGTGTGTCGAGCGTCATCATGAACGAGTGTGTGTCGAGCGTCATCATGAACGAGTGTGTGTCGAGCGTCATCATGAACGAGTGTGTCGAGCGTCATCATGAACGAGTGTGTCGAGCGTCATCATGAACGAGTGTGTGTCGAGCGTCATCATGAACGAGTGTGTGTCGAGCGTCATCATGAACGAGTGTGTGTCGAGCGTCATCATGAACGAGTGTGTCGAGCGTCATCATGAACGAGTGTGTCGAGCGTCATCATGAACGAGTGTGTGTCGAGCGTCATCATGAACGAGTGTGTGTCGAGCGTCATCATGAACGAGTGTGTGTCGAGCGTCATCATGAACGAGTGTGTGTCGAGCGTCATCATGAACGAGTGTGTGTCGAGCGTCATCATGAACGAGTGTGTGTGTGAGACGCTTCTGGAGGGATTACACCACATCACTCTGAACACACACTCCGACTCCAGCGTTTCAGAAACACCAAACCAACATTAGAGACGCTGCGACGCCATTGGTCCACTGGTTACTCCAGTTATCCAATCACAGCTGACGCGGAGTCACATGAGGTTTTAATATGTCCCAATATGTGCATTAAATAGGTGGATGAAAACCACCGATATGAATCATACATGTGATCAAACACACCTGCAGGGAGGAGGATGATGAAGATGGATTGGGTACTGAAACCATTAAACTCCACCCACTTTCATTGATTGACACTTTCCATCCAGGTCAGAAACTAACGGAAGCTTAAGGCAAAAATGCACAGATAAAATCCCCAGATGAGACAAATGTGTGTGGAGAAAGTGAATATTATGAAATGTATCAAATGTCAGATGAGAAGTGTGTTCTTATTTAACGTGTTTATTGCCTCTGCAGATACTGATGAGTTCTGTAAGAAAATACTCCAAAAGGTGAAACATGAATCACATCTGGATCATTTAACACTGGGACGGGTTCAGTTATTAAAATGTGTTCGGGAAGACAATTTACTCTATGATCAAATACATTACTGTAACTCAAGTGTACAGCAGCTCATGGGTTTGATTTCCAGGGAATGCATGAATTGAAAAAAATATATACTACTTTAAATGCATGAATGCAATGCAAGTCAGTGGATAAAAGTGATAAATGTCAAATCAACATGGAATACACAAGCGCCTGCACAGGAGATATGAGAACGGTTCAATGATTCAAGTATTTCACAAATAGGATTGTGTCAAATTATTACAATGCATCTATAAAATAGCCTATTACAGGGATAATTCACCTAAAAATGACACTTCTGTAATTTACTCACTCACGTTGTTCCAAACCTGTAAAAATGTCTTTTGAAAAAGATATTTTGAGAATTGTAACTTTAGGGTGAACTATCCCAGTGTTTCCCCTTCCACTGTTCGGCCCGCCCCCCCGAAATAATTTTGTTTTAAATGGACGCTCCATGTAGGAACTTTAGCGGCTTTGATTTTCGCGATATAGCAGTTCAGTACGCTTGAAATCAAATCACGATATAGACTAGTGTGTGTGAATATTAAACCGCAAAAAGACTATTTAAATAGGAATCCTGCATGTTCTGTGTGAATGAACGGTGCAGACGACGCGCAGTTTCATTTACCTCTCGCACACACACACACACACACACACACACACTTGTGAGGCTCGAGCTGTTTTTTGCCTATACGAATGCATGAACTTCATCTCCAGACTCCAGACCCGCTTCGTGAGCATTTAAACGCTTCATTTGAGAAAAACTATCATCATGTCATAAACACAGAAACTCAAAGGTCTTCACGGCAACCCGTCAAAATAAAAGTTGGGTTTAACTTGACAGAAATATATTACTATTGTACAGTAGAATTTAAATTCAAATAAATTACGATCAAAACTTTGTTTTATCACAATTTTTCTTCCATGTTTTAATTTTAACAGTAAAGCTCATTGTGCAGCACGAAAACATTTAATTAATATTTTATGTCTTCATTTGATTACCAGAAAAAACAACAAATTTGTGTGAAAAAACAAAACAAAACATTTCATAGAATTTCAAATCCACTGTACACTGTATCCCTGTAAGTGCATGAGCTTATGTATTCCACACTGACCCGAGTGACGGATCTGTTGCTCGACTGCGCTCCGGTGTGACCCTGATGTTCTGCTGGTGTGTGTGTTGCAGTGCGGGGAGGTGGTGTACGAGAAGCGGCGCTATGAGAAGGCGCACTGGGCCTGCATCACGGTTCACGAGGACACGTATGAACAGAGCATCTGCTACGGCTTCATGAAGATCATGAGGTTCATCTGCCAGCAAAACACAGCAGGTGCGTGAACACCAGCCTCACACACACCCTCACACACCCTCTCACACCCTCACACACACCCTCACACACACCCTCACACACACCCTCACACACACTCACACACACCCTCACACACCCTCTCACACACCCTCACACGCACCCTCACACGCACCCTCTCACACACCCTCACACACACCCTCACACACACCCTCACACACACTCACACACACCCTCACACACCCTCTCACACACCCTCACACGCACCCTCACACGCACCCTCTCACACCCTCTCACACACCCTCTCACACACCCTCACACACCCTCACACACCCTCACACGCACCCTCACACGCACCCTCACACGCACCCTCTCACACACCCTCTCACACCCTCACACACCCTCACACACCCTCACACACCCTCACACACACCCTCACACACACCCTCACACACACCCTCTCACACACCCTCTCACACACCCTCACACACACCCTCTCACACACCCTCTCACACACCTTCACACACACCCTCTCACACTCTCAACCACCCTCACACACACCCTCTCACACACCCTCACACACTCTCACACCCTCCCTCACACACTCACACACACTCACACACACCCTCACACACCCTCACACACACCCTCTCACACACACCCTCACACACACCCTCTCTCACACACCCTCTCTCACACACCCTCTCTCTCACACCCTCTCACACACCCTCACACACACCCTCACACACACCCTCACACACACCCTCACACACACTCACACACCCTCACACACCCTCACACACCCTCACACACCCTCACACACTCTCTCACACACACCCTCTCACACACCCTCACACACACCCTCACACACACACTCACACACACTCACACACACCCTCACACACCCTCTCACACACACCCTCACACACACCCTCACACACACCCTCACACACACCCTCACACACACCCTCACACATCCTCTCACACACCCTCTCTCACACACCCTCTCTCACACACACCCTCTCACACACACCCTCTCACACACACCCTCTCACACACTCTCTCTCACACACCCTCACACACCCTCTCTCACACACCCTCTCACACACCCTAACGCTCCGCCTCCTCCACCCACAGGGAGCTACCTGGGCATGACCATACCCATCGTGACGGTGGTGCGCACCGACGAGATGCACACCACTCTGTCCCGGGCCGTCACTGTGGCGTATTACCTTCCCATGGTGCACCAGGGCGACCCGCCGCGACCCCACGACCCCGAGATCGCCATCGAGCAGTGGCCCGACACTGTCGTCTACAGCAGGTGCGAAACAGTCAAACAATCTCGGCTCCACTCCAACAAGCAGTGGTGCAACGGATCACAACATTCACCGTTCCGATCATTTTAGGGTTTTTTGAGCCACGGATCGGATCAGCAACAAAAAAAACCACACATTTTTAACGAACATTAAAGACAAGTGAACAGTCAGAAATAAAATAAGAACACATACTCAAATTACAAGCAGAGATGAAAACTAAATAACAAAGTTACAAAGTCTAACAGTATTCAGGTGCAGAAATTCATAATTGAGCCTGAATGTAAAATAACACTATTAGTTCACTGTAGAAACTAGATATAGTTTAATCTTTGTTAAAGCTGTATTTTGTTGTTTTATTAACATTAACGACACAGACGACAGCAGGAATGTTAGTCTGCCGTCACTGAATGAACTGACAGACATGCGGTTTCTTCCTCGCCGGCTCACTCATGACCGAACCGAGAGAACACGTGTGTATCTTGACATGATTTCGTGTGCATGTGTCCGTTCAGCGACAAGGTTAAACTTAGCGGTGCCGAAGCGTGTGGCCTGATCTGTGCGGATCAACTGCGATCCGTTGCACCCCTACAAACAAGTCATGTGACTCGACGCGCGTGTGTTTCAGGGCCTTCACGGGCGCCACTAACGAGCGGTCCATCATTAGTGAGATCAGCGGTCTGGCCGAGGCGCTGGACTCTCCGGGCGACTGCGTGAACGACTCCTTCATCGTGGCCGGATACACCAACCCAGCGGCGGCCAATCGGCAGAACGAGATCTGGTTCCTGGAGAGGCCTTGAGCTGCTCGCTTTACCCACAATCCTCTGCTCCTCTGAGTCCACACGTCCTAGTTCCTGATTACCCATGAGCACTGCTCCTCGCTGTCGTCTGATGAACACGAGCAGAAGCTCATTTATATGCGCAACACTGATTATAAGCTACTACACCAATGCAGACACCACAACTGGAAGTGAGTCACTCTGAGCGCTGTTGCTGTAAGACAATCATGTGTATGCTATCACACACACACACACACACACACACACATACACTCACTCACTCTCACACACACACACACACACCACACAGGGTTCCCAGACTGCGACCATTTTTTGAGGATGTGCGAGTTAAAATGTTATGTGGTCGCATTTGTGCGAGTGGACGCTTGAGCAACAGAACGCCGCTGTATCAGCTGGGCAGTCCGTAACTTATGTTCAAAATGAACGAGTAGGCTACATCATGAATCCATTTTCCAAACCCTGTTTTTGACTTATTCTGAATCACTACGGTACGCCTATAATAAGCAGTGTTTCCCTACCATTGTTTTGCATGTAGACAAGTGTGTGAGGATATTAAACCACAAAGACAATTTAAATACGAATCCTGCTTGTTCTGTGTGAATGAATGGTGCAGCCGACGTGCAGTTTCATTTAACACACACACACACACACACTGAAGCACGTTTGACGCTTGCGCTGTTTTTTTTTGCCTATATGAAGACACAAATGCAAACTTCCTCTCCAGGCTCTTAATCCACTCCGAAAGTCACTTCGTGATCATTTAACCGCTTCATTTGAGAAAAACTATCATTATGACATAAATAAACACACAAACTCAAAAGGTCTTCACGGCAACCCGTCAAAATAAAAGTTCGGTTTAACTTGACAGAAAAATATTACCGTTGTACAGTAGAATTTAGATATGTCCCAATGTAATAATACTAACACTAATCCAAATAAAGTATCATCAAAACTGAAATATTTAAGGAATAATCCATGTTTTAATTTTAACAGCAAAGCGCATTGTGCAGCACATTATTTGACAAAAAGTTTATTTAATTTCCTATGATTAAAATTGATGATAAATGATAAAATTTGTGTTTTATGTCTTCATTTTATTACCAGAAAAAACACAACACAGAATTAGTGTGAATTTTTTTTCCATTTTTTTTTTTAAATGTTGTATACGTTTAATGATTCATAATACACTATTTCAATTAATTAGACATGCTTTTTGATTGCTAAAAAATGTACACCACGTATCCGTAACACGCCCGCTCCGCAACACTAGCCCTCAAAAATGGTCTCACGAAACACAGAGCCCCTTCCTCCTACGTCATTTCAGCGGTTATATTTTCCTCTGTCGAGCGATTACTCTCATGATCGCTCGACAGAGGAAAAGGAAATTATTATAAAATGCAGAAGGTAAGAGTGTGAGATTTCTGCTTTTAGTTACAACTATAAACTTTGATAACGAAAAATCTGTATCAGTTTATTATAATACTCTAATCTTTTAAAATGTAATGCATACATTTGAATGTTTAATGATTTTTAAAAGATAGAAAGATGATAATAGACAGAATATGATTCAAATGTAAATAGATAGATTGTATATAATTCAAATGTAAAATGCTTAAAATTACAGATTAAAATTACTGTCCAAAATCCATTAAAATCCTGAAATTTGGCAATGATAATTAATATATTACAGGTATTTCTGCTGCAACCCAGAAAGCCTTTGCTAGCCTTGGTCCATTAAAACCACTATTCATCAGCATGCATTGATTAATCCCATGGCATGTAGCAAAAAAAAAGAAGAAAAAAGGTGCGACCAAATCATATGCTGGTGCGACCAACTGAGAAAGTTGGTAGCACCAGTGCAACCAGTGGAAAAGTTAGTCTGGAGCCGTGCCACACATACACTCACTCACTCTCACACACACACACACTCATTCAAACGTACATACTCATTCAAACACACTCACACACATACATTCACTCACTTTTACACACACACACTCATTCTGTTCTGCTCTATAAATCAATGCTCATGTAGTCAACAAATCAATATAATAGACACACATACGTTTATATATTATATATTGTCATAGTGCTATTTTTAAGTATTTTTGTAATGTTTCCTTCGCTGTTATTCCTCCATGAAGTGCAGATGTCAATCAAACAAGGAAATTAATGAGTTTTCAGAATGAAACACACACACGTGTCTTTGAATGAAGTTAATGAGCTCAAGCACTTGCCAACACTCGATCAGTGTGTGTGTTTTACTCTCGCTCATCGTATCAACACTACAGCCACTGAGTTTCTGAATGCTTCTGTTCATATTTCTGTTCTGATCTCAATAAACTATTATTGAATCACAGTACGACTCGAGCGTCATCACTTTACACAACAAAAACAACCCTATTTCTGGACTAAAAAAACAAAATCACTCAAATAAGTGACAGATTAAAATCACCATAACATCATAATTTCCTCTTCTAAATGATTTATGGGTGCACATCATTATTGTGTTAATAATCCTGAATCAGAATACCATCTCTTCTCTGATGATGAGGGCGGGGCTATAACCTGTCACTCACATGAGCTCAGCCAATAGCAAACCACAACCATCCAATCAGACACAATCAAGCCCCGCCCACATGTGTTCTCGTTCCTGAAGCGTTTCTCTCGATATACGACACATTAGAGGAGAGAAGACCAGCGCTACTCCCCTTTCCTGCTGAAGTGTTAACTTGCGTCTCTCCTGAGCTCAGAGGGGTTCGGCTGCTGTGGGATAAAGCAGTGCTCAATGAGGTCAGAGGTCAAACTGAAGGCGAAACATTCCAGCGCTCCAGTGAGATGTGAATATAGGGGTGTCCCCGACTAAGGATTTTCATAGTCGAATCAGATTCGTCAGGTCCTGCCTATAGTCGACTAATAGTCGAATCATGTGTGTGGGTGTTGGGCAGGGGGCGGGGCTTTAACATTTTAAAGCCGCGATGTACAGAACATCACACAAAGATATAGAAGAAAATGTATAAAAACATTTTGGATCAATAAAACTAAGAAATAACATAAATAACTGCAGAAAGGCCACACTGCAGATAGGATTTGCATTTCACATGCAAATCAAATTAAATCGGCTGAATTGCCTGTACGAGCATGCTCTATATAGGCCTACAGCGCAACATCGATGCACTGAAAAATAATCAACAATTAAGAACATAATATACTTTTATAATAAATAAAAATACAAAACGAAATAAGTCAGAATCAAATCACAAGAAGCAGAACAAATGTGAAAAAGCACTGAGACATGGCGACCGCTGGCGCTGCTAATGCGGCGGCTCTGAATCCACTTGTTGACAAGAAAGGAGGAAAGAGCCACATATGGAAATATTTTCGATTAGGCTAATGTCACGTTGCCATAAGGGGCCGTTCACATAGCGCGTTTCTCTGCGCGTGCAAATTCGTTATTTCCAATGTAGGCGCACTGGAAGCGCGCTCGTTTTTCCAGGCCGCCTCTGTTCATGGTTGCATAGCAACGACAGACGCCACGGGAGAGCAAGCGCTTTTGGAAAGGAGAAAGCGGCGCTCTCCATGAGGACGAGGAAGTATCAGCAAAGAATCAATTGATTTCTAGCCCTTGCATTAGCTTTACTACTAGATACATTTACGGAGATGAGAAATAAAAAGCCGCACTGTACAGCTATGATCAGCTGTTCGGCCGAGCTTTCGATGTTGTTACGGAAAGGCCGAAGCTGATCGGTTGTTTTTTGTCACATGGCCTGTTGAGATGAGATGTTACGATGTTTTCATCTCGCCACGCGCGCCTACAATTGAAATAACGAATTTGCGCACAAAAAAACGCGATATGTGAACGGCCCCAAAGTGGACTCGGGTGCGGGTGTATCGGGGTAGGGTTACGAGGACATGAGCACAGTCTCGGACCGACACCCGAGTGCTGTTTATGCCATTATTAGTCCGTCAGAAAAGCAGTTCTAGGCTTATTCTTGGCTGGATAACTCTTAGCAGGTTTAAAAAGCCTTTTAAAATTAAATATGAACACAGTTTTGGATTAAATAAAAGTACAGTCAAGTCAAATAAAACACGTTTTATCTCCTGTATTGTTTGGTAACACTACAATAAGACACCATTCATTAACATTACTTAATGCGTTATCTAACATTAACACATTGAGTGAACAATATATTTTTACAACATGAATGAATGTTTGTGAATGTTATTTAATACAAACACTTGATTGTTCATGTTTGTTCACTTCATTCATTGTGCATTTAATAATGTTAACATAAAACTTTTGATTTTAAAAATGTTAGAAAAATTAAGTGCTCACAGATTGGGTGTGGCCTTTGCCATTAAGATAAAATTTTCAATAAATTCTAAATAATCTTTTTTCTGGGTTGTGTCATTTCATTTTTCCCCTAACAATATCTACCTTATAGCTGAAAATTAACACGAAACAAAAACGTGAAAAATCTTGTCTAAAATTATAAAATGAAGGTTTCTGTTTGTGACCAGTTCAAGGTACGTGCTGCAATAATCATGCCTTGAATCTGTTGATGGTATGTCATATTTGTATGTCTCAAAATGTCCATTTCTATCCACAAAACTTGCCAGAAGTCATGGTTTAAGGGGTTATTTAAAAAAAAAAAATCTTCCGGAGGTGCATGCCCCCGGACCAATGTTCCCTCTAAGCTGCGCGCGTGCGTGGCCGCGCACTTCTGATGCCTCGGCCGCGCACTTCTGAAGCGGCGGCGCGCAGAAAAGAATAAAATGCCACGCAGATGACTGACACGAAATGTGTGGGGAAATAGGGCTCCTTGCCATTAAAAGGTTTGAAACCCCCTGCTAAAGAAAATATTGGAAATTCATAAGCAATAAACAATCATTTAACTTTGATGATTTAATGCTTCCTGTACACCAGGGATTCCCAAAGTGTGGTGCACCCCCAGGGGTACGCGAGCTGCCACCAGGGGGTGCGCGAGAGGAAAAATGTAATGGCGGTCTGTTTTGTAAGTGGGATTTTTCCATACAATAAAATAAAAACCATGAACAGTAAACATTTCCTTTGTAATCGCTTTTATTTTAAATAAAAAAACTATAATTTATGAGTTTTTGATAGAAACGTTGGAAACAGCTGCTGTCTTCTACGCACTGCTCTGCACTGCAGCCGCTAACGTGACACATGTGCTTTCGCGCGTTTGCTGTCATATATCACAACCATTGAGTGTTTTCAACCACATAATGTTTATTTTAGGTTTCAGACATTTAAATACACATAAGTACTAGCAAAACAATGATTTTGATTTAGCTGATTTCTATAGAAGCGGCAATATTAATCCTTTTCATTATAATAAGACGACACGTTTTATTCATATCAGATACACATTGTATACGTAGCTTCACATTTTACCCTATTCTTCTCCCAGTTCACCGGCCTCTTACTTTCATGTATTTCGTGAGAAGTGGAGGAATTGACGTCACGTGTTGTAAATCCAACAGATCCGATTCTCTGAACTGTGGCACAAACTAACGATCGTTATGAAGGTGTTTGAACAATAAAACACATCTACTTGCACATATTTGACAATCGGAATATCAGTGTTTCATGCTATAGCTAATACATTTGTGAATATTTTTGATAAAAAAGGAAAAATGACATAAAAGCAGATCATCATTCATTCACCGCTGTGTTGTGGTTGCGCTGTGTCACGTGACAAGGAATGACGCGTCACCATGGAAACATTAAAGTGACAAGTTCTAAATAACGGTCGCCTTGAAAAACTCACGCTCAGTTAAAATATTTTAAACTTACGCGTGAAAGGGTTAAAAGTGGAAGCTTGTGCGTAGCTTTGTTGCATTATATTGAAACTTTGTTGATGTTGTTATTGTCATGCGTGTTCTGGTTATTAGCGCATGATTAAACATGAGTCTTTATAGGGCGATAAAACAAAAGCTTTGTTGCATTTTTTTTTTAAGTGGGGATTGGGGGTGCGCCAACCCGGTTGGGACATAGAAGGGGGTGCGCAGGAAAAAAAGTTTGGGAACCGCTGCTGTACACAATTAATTCACTGTACAAAAACACTTTATGGTTTTCCCAAACCATCTCAGTGTAACAGCTTAATTTTCTTCCATACTATATTCTATTATTGTAAAGAATTGAACTGTCCTGCAGAAGATTTTGTAAATTATTTTTCATAGGATTTCTTGCTAAAGACTGTACAGTTAACAGCACTGTAAAAAAAAAAAAAAAAAAAAAAAAATCAGGTAACCTAAAATGTGCTTCATTTAGTGACTTCTTAATTTGTTAAGAAGCTTGTTTTTCGAAAATATGATTTAATACCAGTAAGTTACATCAAGGGTCAAATAACATAGAAATGGCACATTCAAGTTAAAAGTTACAACTGAATGTTGAAACCATTGTGTTTCTACGTATGCTGTACAGGTCAGGTATAAAGAATATTTTTGCTCAGGTGGCGAAAAATGTCCGGCCAATAGAAAAAAGTTTTGCTCAGCAAGAAAAAAAATTAGAGGGAACATTGCCCCGGACCCCCCCGCGCGCGACTTGGTAACATCCTCCGGCACGTGACAGCACCGCTGCTGGAAAAATTTCTAGGGGAAAAAACACTGCTATGGAAGTGAAATAATGACAAATGTTTTTGTAACAAAAAAAGCACTACTTGAAATAATATGCGTTGCATTAACAGTGCTTACATTTGAATGCATTGTTTTTTTAGGGCTTGCACTTTTATGGGCTGAAATTGAACATAGTTGTATATTTAAGCTGTGAATATTTAAATTCAAAACATTTCACACACGTTTTCATTATAAAAAATGCAATAATTCCATATTCACCTTTCAGATTTTCACTTCACTGTTTAAAAATACAACCTATAATATTCGACAGGCAATTTTTGGTCCACTTTACAAATTCAGTGGATCAAATTCAACAGAAAATTCGACGTTTGACATGCGGGAACGGCAGGAATATCAGTAGATTGATGATTGCTAATCTCCACCGCTGTTAGTCGGCCGCTCCTGTTGACGAAGAAAACTATGAAGCAACGGGTGAGAGACTCACTCATTCATAAAAAATGGATTTACAGAAACTGTCAGTATTTGTGATGATTATCAGGGCCAGCATATGGATATGGAAAAGCTGATAAAGACACAAAAGCTGTGTTTACATTTAAGTCTTCACGGTTACTTTTGTACATGTAGCTTTCTCTACCGTGAACGAGATTATAATGTTATTCCCCGATGCTGATGTGCAGATCAAACGGTAAATCTGAGGTAGTAGACGTATATTTCTCTCGGTCGGTTAGTTTTATTAACTTTTTCAACAAGCTTTTTAGTTTCAAAAACATTTGTCATTATTTTACTTCCATATCTATCCTCTTGAGTGAGGTCTAGGTTTCAGGATATATCAGATACAGCCACAGCGCCACCTACAGCTCCAGGCCCGTCACTGCCGCTCAGTGGGGAACCCTGGATAACCGGTCCAGGACTACAGAACCGCTTCTGATTGGTTCAACACACCCGTGTCTCAGCGCACTTCATCAAACCAGCCTTCTTTCTTTAAAGTCCCCCTGTGGTGTAAATCCAGCGTTTAATGTTGTTTGTGTGTGTATGTGGTGTTTAATACGCTTTAAGACACACCATGTGTAAGTTCATAAGTCGACAGCATTGCTGAGTATTTCCTCCTTAAAACTGCAGTGAACCAAAGACAGTCTCAAAAACACGGTTTGAAATCATCGCTGGTGTTTCTGACGTCACAAACGACCTTGTAACCAATCAGATCAACGTGTGATCGTCACCCAGTGGATCTCTGAGCTGAGGGAGTGAGTGGAGGCGGGGCTCATTTGCATATTCATAGAACCACACATACTAAATGAGGCGAGGGTGTCGAGTTACATTCAAAATATTTTAAGGCATGGAGGGGAATAATACTTTTAAATATGTCATTTTGGTGTCAAAGATGAGTTTAAAGTGATACAATGGTTGACTACAGGAGACTTTAATGATCTGAACACCTGCAAGCCGGAGCGTCTCATATTTACATACATTTATTCATTTAGCAGCCTTCATCCAGAGCGACTTGCCAATGAGGAATACAGCAACGAGTCCTGATGAAACGGCAAACGCAAGAAGTGCTCAGAACACTGCAGGTGTCGCTCACCTGTACCGGGTCTGGGTCGGGTCTGGGTCTGTGTCTCTCACCTGTAGGTACCGGGTCTGGGTCGGGTCTGGGTCTGTGTCTCTCACCTGTAGGTACCGGGTCTGGGTCGGGTCTGGGTCTGTGTCTCTCACCTGTAGGTACCGGGTCTGATGACCCGTGAGTGACTCTCCCAGCGGGACGACGATCTTCTCCAGGCTGCGCTGATGCACGTGTTCCTGGACATCGGGACTGTCCTCGGAGCGCAGCTCGATGTGAGAGATCAGCAGGTTCGAGATCACCTGCTGCACCGCCTGCACACACACACACACACACACACACAGAATCACTGAAGACCCGTTCTGAGAGTGTGTGAAGCAGTATTACTGTACTTCAGCAGCTTTCAGAACCTGTCAAAACAGATTTTATTCAATGCTTTTGTTACTTTTAAGCAAAAACTACTCTACTTCGAGATCACCTACTGCACCGCCTGCACACACACACACACACACACACTTTATTGTGTCTGTAGCCCCTTGTAAGTGAGGAGGAGCCTAATTGAGAAGCACTGTATAAATATTATATACTGTGAGTTAGGGGTGTAACAGTGTATCGTGTCACAATATATCGCAATACAAAAATGCAACAATATGTGTCGTGTATATAGTTCACCCAAAATGAAAATTACTGTGTGAGGAAAAATTCAAATTTACAGAGTTTTAGTGTCAGTACTACATTAAACTACTACTTATAATGTTGAATATGATGTATGTGGGGAATATTTGTGGGTCCTGATAATGCCAGATGTCTGATGTTACCAGTAAAAGTGGTACATTATTGTAAATATATCTAGTGAGTGACAGAGATCAAGCATATTCGTGTAAAATAATGCTGTATTTCATCTTCAGAATCATGAATATAGTTATTCTGGCGTCTCTATTGTCCTGCGTTGGGTTTCCAGCACTGAGTCCAAGACTATTCATTTACACACACAATGTTAATATCAAATTTAGCATTTTAATCAACAGTACATTTTTTGTGAACCTTTAATCATATGTCTTTGATCACTCCTCCCGGTTCCCATGATCCCCGGCTCACCTTGACGTCTCCTCCAGGTGTAGCGCTGAGCGCCAGGACGCGGAACCGCTGCGATTGGTTGCTCAGCTCACGCACCACCTGAAGAACAAGCTCAGCATCAGAACCAGAGTTCCCATCATGCTTCAGTCAGGAGGGAGGAGGAAGTGAAGCGCTACCTGACAGTACGCGTGGTTCCCGGTGGCCTTGTGGGCCTCGTCGATCACCACACACTTCACCTGAGCCGCCGGGCAGGTGTTCCGGCACAGGTCGTTCACCATCACCTGAGGAGTGAGGAAGAACACACGCCTCGAGCGCCAGAGCTCTCGCCGGTGCTGCGCTGCGGTGGAGCCTGCAGAACACACACACACACACACACACAAATCATGATGTTAGTTTTTTCCATATGTTAGAAAATGACTGAGAATGACACAATATTATTATAATTCTTAAACGTATAAAAGGTCAAGTTTCTCGTTTTCGGGGGTCGTGACCTCTGACCTGTGAGCTCGGCCATGTGCGGCTGCGGGATCCCCATGACCCCGTGACAGGCCTGGATCTGCTGGGCCACCAGGGGTTTAGTGGGCGCCATGAACACGATCTTGCCCGCGGGGAACCAGCGGTAGTAGTTGTACATGATGACCGCGGCGATGAAGGTCTTGCCCAGGCCGGTGGGGAGGCAGACCAGCGTGTTCCTCAGCAGAGCCGCCTCGCAGATCCGCAGCTGGTACTCCCGGACCGGGCAGTTCGTGGGGTAGATCCAGATGCGGCCCGCGGACGGGTCGAAGCCCGGTTCCGGACCGGCCTCCAGCGCGCGCTCGGCCTCGTACACGGCCACGAGCATGACATCATCATCGTCATCTTCATCAGCGGCTGCTGTTGATGTCTCACCCCAGAGACTCCTGCTGTCTGTCTGCTCGGGGGTTTTAATCCGGTCTGAGGTGGTTTTAATCCGGGCTAAAGTGGTTTTGCTCCGGTCTGAGGTAGTTTTGCTCCGGTTTGCGGTGGTTTTCCTCCGGTCTGAGGTAGTTTTGCTCCGGTCTGAGGTGTGAGACACATTGCAGCCCCATGTCTGGAATAAAGTCCTCTGATTCGCGCTCATTGTAGAATCATAATCATCATCATCGCCAGCCTCAGTGAATATTACCGTTAGTAAACAAACGCGTTTGAATTCTGCCAGACCGAGCCGAATCAAACATGGCGCTTCTCTTTCCGCTCCAATCAAACGCATTAATCGCTCATACCTGAAACATATTCACGTTTTCATATTCTAAACAAACATAAACAAGAGCGCAAACGAAACGGCTGATCGAATGTGGCGCGCGTGCGGCTTACGTCACCGAGAGTGAAAGAGCGCATGCGCGGGCGGTGTGTTCCTGTGACGTGCGCATGATTTGATGAACTAAAACCGAATTATTATGTTATGTTTTGTTTTTTACTCTTACGATTGGTGTTACTCTTAACTATTGTGAGGTTCTCATTTTGTTGTACCAGAGTGTAAACTGAATGTTCAAATAAAACTTAAAAAAAACGAATTATTTGTCAGAATATTTTATCTTCACTTCATGAAACTCTTTGATGGATCATTTCAGTGCCTGTGGTGTTTGTAGATTATATCTGTAAATATATATAACATTCTGATCTACCCACAGATTATTTCATTCACCACTCAATATTATTGTTTGGATTTAAAAAAGTGTCCGTTTAATATAAACTGAATATTCTCCAGGTGATGTTTTACACATTTATAATATTTACACATATTTTTATTTGTCCCCCGGATTAAACCACCTCATGTTAGATTTATACATTTATATATATTTGAACTATTTTCAGTATTTTAATTGTCATGTTGGTTTGCTGATGTCTTTGGTGTCACAGAACTATTAAAAGTATCAATATATGAATAATCTATTTTAAAAAGTAGATTTTTAATTATTAAGCTCATTTATGTTCATGTAAGGAAGAATGATGGAAAACCAAAAGCAGTAATTTGACTCGAATCACAATCATTCACAGCACGAGTGTTTACAGAAATAAGACACTTTATTATATAGATAAATCTCTCTCTCATATAATTTAATGTGAAATCTCATAAAGGCTGTTGAGGAATGACTGGCACTAAACTGAGAACTACATGGACATGAACTCACCTGTATTATTATTATTATTATTATAAAGCTTCACATTCACAAAAATACAGCGGTTTCACAGCCAGAGCTGATAGAGGCGTCGATCCGTGTGATATTTTCCTCTTTTCGCTTTATTTATCAATTAATTTGATCATGCAACAGAACTAAGACGGGTCGCACTTAGAACAGAACCATAATCACGTAATCGTTGAGTCGTCGCGTAAACGTACCGTATATGACGTACAGTAAACCGTACAGCTAATACTGTGCTATTATACAGTACTAAACAGTTCTGCACAAAGTTTGATAATAATAACGACACATCTCTTAGAAATGTTCCATAGCACACCTTACAAAACAACATTGTATTATTGTGCATTTTCAAGAGTACATTCTGTGTTCTCGGTCACATGACCCGATCCGGTCAGGTGTGAGGTCCTCTTCCGAGAGCAGCGTGAGGCACTGTGGACAGCAGACGCGTGTGTGTTCAGGTAGAGTGTGTGTGTCGGGCCCGGAGCAGCTCGTTCAGGTCACACTGGATGTTGGCGGGCTGTGAGGCGGCGCACTCCACCAGCGTGCGGCCCATGTGTGTGTGCAGCGCTTCGGCTAGCTTAGCGGCGGCCATCTTGATGCTGCCGCTGTTACTGGAGGAGCCGAGGAGCTTCCA